CGGGACGGGATTGCCAACCTCCAGGTGCCCCCGGGAGATCTGTTGGCGTAACCCTGTCCAGACCACAGAGGGAGCATTGGTTACAACCAGTGTTCCCTCTAAGCTGAGTTAGTGTGAGCTAGCTCACAGGTTTTTAGCCTCCCGCGCACACATTTTTGTCTTCGCTCTGGCAGGATGGCTACAGAGCAAACTAAATTTATTATGCAGGGGACAAATCACGTCGCTCACATCTTTAATGCCCATAGCCTCACAAAGTGAGGATTTGTGCTCACAAGACTCCACAGCTTAGAGGGAGCATTGGCTACAACCAGTGTTCCCTCTAAGCTGAGTTAGTGTGAGCTAGCTCACAGGTTTTTAGCCTCCCGCTCACACATTTCTGCCTTCGCTCAGGCAGGATGGCTACGCAGCAAACTAAATTTATGCAGGGGACAAATCACTCGCTCACATCTTTAATGCTCATAGCTCACAAAGTAGGATTTCTGCTCACAAGACTCCACAGCATAGAGGGAGCATTGGTTACAACCAGTGTTCCCTCTAAGCTAAGTTAGTGTGAGCTAGCTCACAGTAATTTAGCCTCTGGCTCACACGTTTTCATCTTAGCTCAGGAAGGATGGCTCCAGGGCAAACTAATTTATGCAGTAGCCAAATTGCTTGCTCACAACTTTAATGCCCGTAGCTCACAAAGTAGGATTTTTGCTCACAAGACTCCACAGCTTAGAGCAGTGATGGCGAACCTTTTAGAGACCGAGTGCCCAAACTGCGACCCAAAACCCACTTATGTATTGCAAAGTGCCAACACGGCAATTTAACCTGAATAAGGAGGTTTTACTCTAGAAAAAACAACTCATACATTAACTTAAGATGATCCAAACAAAGTAAGGAAAGCCATCCCAAATGCTTTCATTTACTTAAAATTATTTGGCAGCGAATTCGACACTTTAATGATGGTCTGGGCTTGGCTGGGGTGATGGCAAGCGTGCCATAGGGTCGCCACCACTGGCTTAGAGGGAGCATTGGTTACAACCCCTGTAGAAAAGGGCGACTTCCGAGGGTGGGCTCAGGGGAATCAGTATCGCTACCGACCCCCGTCCATTCTCCAAACCCCGCCTCTTCCAGCCTCTTATCCCCCCCCCCCAAATTTCCAGTGGTTTCCCATCCTGGAGTTGGCAACCCAAGCAGAGGGATGAGGTCTTCAGAAGGGCCCTGAGGAAGCCTAGAAAGGGAGGGGATAGTTAAGATTTGACAACTGCTTGGAAGAGGATTAGACTAGACTCTCTGAGACTGGTCTACCTTGCAGGGTGGTTGGTTGGTTGAAATGAAGAGGAAGGGCCCGGTGTGGAGCTCTTGGAAGACGGGCAGGATAGAAATGGTTCACTCTGAGCTGGGAAATTGCTGAGGAGCGGAGGGTTCTCCGGGAGGTGTGATGCCCCAGAGACTGCCCTCTACAGCAGCCATTTTCTACAGAGGAGCTGACCTCTGTAGCCTGGAGATGAACTTTAATTCAGAGAGATCTCCAGGCCCCACCTGGGGGTTGGCCAGCCCATCACAGATCCTGCAGGAGGAGAAACCCTGTTCATCCAGTCCGGTGTCCCTGGTCAGGGATAATCCAGGACAGTAGATCTTAAACTTTAGACCCCTGCTGCCTACCAGCTACAAAAGGTAGCCTTAAAAAAACACCCACCCCCTCCCAGCTGAAAGTAAAATTATAGCACATCCCCATAGCGTTCCTGACTGCACTTTGTGGACCGTTCCTAAGGTTTTGAAATGTTCGTTTTCATACTTCAGCAAAAGGAGGGGGGTGTCCAAAATAGTTTTCACCCCAAATATTTTGCATTTCACCTTTCTCTTCTTGCTTGATTCCCAAACAGATTACAACTCATTTAAATAAACCAACAAAGCCCAGAATATGTACATGTGAAATGGGCAAGAAATACCCTGTTTCCCCGAAAATAAGACCTACTCAAAAAATCCTAGCAGGATTTCTATGCATTTGTGGTATAAGCCCTAGTGTGTCTTCTTGAGAAAAAATAAATATAAGACAGTGTCTTATTTTCGAGGAAACACGGTATTTCCAAACAGAGCAGTGGTTAAAAGGCATGGATTTCTTTCCATCTTTCGGATGCATTTGGGTGTTTGTGTCCATGGCTATGTGAAGGGGTGGGTGGGTGATATTCTGAATTAATATGGAGGAAAAAGGAAATACTGCTTTACCCAGAGAGTGATTCAGATGTGGGATTTGCTGCCAGAGGATGTTGTGGTGGCCACAGGAATAACCAGCATTAATAGGGGATTAGATCGATGCATGGAGGATAAGTCTGTCAATGGCTACTAGCCATAGTGACTGAGGGGAACCTGCACATTCAGAGGCAGTAATCCTCTGAATCCCAGAGCCAGGAGGCAACATCAGGGGAAGGCCTCCAGAGGAACTGGTTGGCCACTGTGTGAAACAGGAGGCTGGACTAGAGGGGCTATTGGTGTGATGCTGCAGGGCTCTTCTTATGTTTCTTAATAGAGTTTAAGGATTTGTCCCTGACCTGGGACTTGACCCAAAGTGTTAAGCGAAGCAGGTAGTGCATCCTGCACTGTGCATTTGCAAGAAAGGTGGGACAAAAGACAGAAACTCTGCCTGAGGCACACAGAAACTTCTGGAAGGTGAAAGAGATTCCATGCCCATGAGCAGGTTTTCCTGAGGAGACACGTTAAAATGGAAAAGACCCCAGGAGAGTCCTGGCATAAAGAGCCCAACAAAACACACACTGTAGCAAGGCACACAAAAGCTCATACCTTGAACAAAACTTTGTTGGTCTTAAAGATGCTTGGTATTTCTCCCGTGTGATTGAGGCAGCCCAGCAAAGCAAGCTGTCCCTCATTCCCTCCCTCCCTTCAGGGAGGAGCCTCAACCAATGGAAGGAAAGAAAGGCTTCCCTCTGTCTCCTGCAGCCTGGCCAGGAAGCAAACTCTGGCTGTTCCCTTCCTCCCCCTGGGAAGAGGAGGGAAAGGAGCCTCAGCCAGTGCTTTATCAGACTATCTCAATTACACAGGAGAGGCTTGCCTATTTCTCTCTCCTGTGCGATTGAGAGAGACTGGTAAAACAAGCTGTGATGTGGTAGCAGCAGCAGAACTAGAAAAAGAAGCAGAAAACAGCCAGGTCATTGAGAGCCAGATTGGGGCCCTCTGAGGGCCTGACTCGGCCTTCGGGCTGCATGTTTGACATCCCTGCATTACCAGATATTTGAGGAGGTGGGACTATCATTTTAAACATTTCTGATTGGCAACAGTAGCCCCTGACATCAGAGATACTTACTTGAGTTAGCCCAACTATATTGGCTTTGATTTGAAAACCTCTGTGCTGGGTGTTTTGTGCCTCTTCCCTGTATTTTGTTTTGCCTAGGAATCCCAAGTCCCCCTGGGGGGCGGGGAAACCCCCGCCCCAGAGGTCCATTCCCCGGTGCTGCCGGATCCCCGGGGGGAACTCCGCCCCGACGTGCGTGTCACCCGGAAGTGACGCGGGCACGCTGGGGGCGGGGCCACGGCCATAGAAGGGAAAACTCTATGGTTTTCCCTTGTATGGCCGTGGCCCCGCCCCCAGCATGCCTGGCGTACTCCCGTCACTTCCGGGTGACGTGCGTGCGGTGCCCCCCCCCCCGCTCCCGGCGAAGATAGACTTGGCAACCTTGGTTTTGCCCCTTTCCCAACACTTTTTGAATCTAGCCACCCCTTTCCTATTTTTTTCCTCTGTCTCTTCTGATAAAACATGGATTCTTTGCTTAGTAAGTTTTACTTCTATGGGATATTTCTCTCATTCTCTTACCCATGAGCTAGTTCCCAAGGGAGCTACATTTTTCAGGGTTTCTAATTGTGGCCTGAGGTGACATCTGAATTCTCTGGTTCCCATTTTTCAAGCCACACCAGCTATAGAGGTGGTATCCAGGGGGTAGACTGGAGAAGTGGCATTAATGTCCTGGCCCCACTGGTGGACCTCCAGATGGCACTGGTATTTCTGGCCACTGTGTGATACAGAGTGTTGGACTGGATGGGCCTTTGGCCTGATCCAACATTGGCATCTCTTATGTTCTTAAGGAGACAAATTTGGGTTTATGAGCAAATTGGGATTGCATCAACTGTGGCTTAAACGAGTCCTAGTTTATTGTGACATCTGAATTCTGCCTCACACTTTAACATTATTACCCCATTAGTTGATAGGACCTGCTCACATTAATACAAACAAAGCAAGGCTTCACTGTCTCCTATCAGATAAGAATACAGAAACTACACGTTCAGTTGCTGAGTTCTGTGCGTTAATTCTTAGATTGCAGGAATGGCATTTTAAAAGTTCTTAAATTCAGATTTCTATTTTTTGTATTTTGTATATTATGACTGTTTTATGCTTACTCTGTACGTTGGTCTCAAGACCGCAATAATAAACTAAACAATTCCACCTGACAGTGCCATCCTGCGCGGCGATATTCTGGTCTAAATAGAAATCTTTGGGAATATCCTTGCATAGAGCTGCGCTTCTGTCCTCCCTGGTCCAGGTCCGACACTCTCAGCCTCTGCAGCGCCCCCTGGCTCAGTCCTGAATTGGGAGAGATGAGGGGTCATCACTGCTGTGGGGGGTGTTGCTCATGATGTCCTAATTTTCTTCCAGGGTCTGACATCCGAGTGCTGGACTAGGAAGAGGATTGTTTGCAGAAGGGAGCTGAGTGAGTGTCCATTGGTGATGAACCACAGGGAGGATCTGAAGGGATTTGTTTTGGGGGGGCCCTAAAATTCATCTGGGGACCCAAAGTCATTTGAATGTTCTTGTGGAGGGAAAACCCCGAACTAGCCTTGGTTCTGGAGGCAAATGCTGGACGTTTAGAGTCGGGTGAGAGATTCTTGAGGCGTGAAAGAACACAAGAGGGACCAAAACTGTGAGAACAACTTCTGTCAGAGGCCTGACTTAAGCCGAGAGCCCGCAAATGGCAGAAGAAACATACATTTGTTGTTATTGCGGGCAAATGTTTCAAGGGACTTCGGCCTTGATTGTGCACGAGAGGAATCATGTAGCAGAGCAAAGATATCAGTGTGGGAGAACGTATCCTTGTCATCCTGACCTCCTCATACACCAGAAGAGCCACGCAGGAGAGAAGCCCCATGGAAGTGTTTCGGATGGTGGTGAAAGCTCCGGTCGGAATGCCCCCCTGCCCCTGCACCAAGGAGCCCGCCTGGCAGAGAAGGTAAGCCAGTGCCGTGAGAATGGGAAAGAGGAGCCCTGCTGGATCAGACCAGTGAGGGTCCGTCAAGTCCAGCCTCCAGTCTCACACAGCGGCCAACAAGGTCCTCTGGAGGGCCAACAACAGGGCATAGAGGCCCAGGCCTTCCCCTGATGTTTCCTCCTGGCTCTGGGAGTCAGACGTTGACTGCCTCTGAACGTGGAGGTTCCCGATGATAACATCAGAAGAGAACATAGAAAACCAACTAATTCCTCTGGAGGGCCAACAATGGGGCACACAGGCCAAGGCCTTCCCCTGAGGCTGCCTCCTGGCTTAGAGCCCTCCCTTCCAGAAGTATTTTGGGGTGGAGCTGTGTTCTGGGAACTCAATTCCCAGGCATGCCTGGGCCCAATTCAGGTGGTGACTGGCACAAGAGGAGATGGGGATTTGGCCTCCCCTCCCCCCGGCCATACACGTGCCATTTTCTTTTCTTTTCTTTTCTTTTTTTTTTGTTTTTTAAAGTACCCAAAGGTACACTTTTATTGTTTTCTTATATTCCTAAACACAGACATAAACAACTACAACAAACAACATATAAACCAAGAGACTTATTACAGTTTGTTACTACACCTAATCCATCGCTTCATTATTCTGTAATATTTGTTAGTATTCTCTAATTCCGTTATTATATATTACTACATCCTCAAATATTATTTCTGCCATATCAGCTTAATCTTTAACTTCCATTCACATTATACCAATCATATAGTCTCTTCCAGGTTTTCTGAAATGTCCATTTCTTCGTGCCTCGCATTTCCATGGTTAGTTGATCTATTTCTGCCGCTTCTAAAAGTTTATTAATATATTCCTGTTTAGTTGGTGTTTCTTGAGTCTTCCAGTATTTGGCATACAATATCCTTGCCGTCGTTGACATGCATACAATCAGATATCTGTCAGCTTCCTCAAATTCTTTCGGAAAAATATTTAACAATAACAATTCTGGAGTAAAGAGAATGTTACATCTTACTATTTTTTCCATTATACAGTGCACCCATTTCCAAAATTTTTTTGAAACATCACATAACCATCACATATGATAAAATGTGCCTATCTTATTTTTACACTTCCAGCATTTATCTGAACAATTGCTAACCTATCTGGAGTGACATACCATCTATAAAACATCTTGTACATATTTTCTTTATAAGCAACAGCATTAGTCATGTGCCATTTTTTTGACCTGAAGAAGCCCTGGTGGAATTGCTGTTTGTGCCACTGGGTGAACTTCAGTGCAGCCCTCCTCTGTCCATGCAGATTTCCCCAGCGGGGCAAATAGCGGCTCCGCGGAGCTTCTTTGGGTCAGAAAAATGGCACTGGGAGGAGGGGCTGATTCCCTTTCTCCTCACGCGCCATGGTCCCAGTCTGAATTGAGCTTGCAGTTGCCTGGGAATTCCACCCCACATGTGTTTAGACCACATGAAGATGTAAGGAAGTCCGGAGGCCAGAAGCAGATCATTAAAACTGCTAAGAGAGGAAAAAAAAAACCTCAGCTGAAATACTTCAGGAAGGCCTGTGCCGGAAGGTGAGGAAGGTAGGGGCCATGTGAGCCTCCTGGGGGAGGGTGTTCCAAAGGCAAGGAGCCACCACTGAGGAGGCCATATGTATGTCTCTGGTCCTGACCTCCCTCACCTCTGCAGGTGGGACAGTAAGGCCAGGGCTTCCGAAGAGGATCTCAGCAGTTGCTCTTCAGCGTGACAGCCTCACCTACCGGTGTCAGGAAGTTTCGCCCATGGGAGATCCTGGGCTCAGCCCAACGCAGCAGCTCTGGTTAAAAGTCCCTGGAGATGCCTCCCCAGTCTGAGGGGACAGACTTGAGCTACAGCAGGGCCTGACTGAGGGGGGACGGCAGCCGTGGAGGGTGAATGGCAGGAGTTTATCTCGCTATGGGGCACATGGCTCTGGATGTCTCCCGGCCAGTGTCCACCTTGCAAAGCCCACATTGAGATCTTGGTCATCTGGAGGTCAATTGTAGTGGTGGAAGATCTCCAGGTGCCACTGGGGGGTTGGCATCCATAGCCCCTCTGCCTGTGTGGGCCTCACTGCAAAGACCCCCCGGGCAGGGGGGTGGCACGCACATGGAATGGGGTGGTGGGAATGTGGCCTGAAAGGGGTTTGTCTCCAGGGGGTCTGGTGATGCTTCCTCCTTCTCCCCCCAGTTCTGCTTTGAGAGCGGCGAAGAGGACGAGGGGCCAGAGGGGGTGTCCGCCCAGCAAACCCAAGCCCTCCTGCAGGTGAGTCAGGCAGGGGAGGGGAGGAGGGGAAGCTGGGGTTTGTGTGGAGTCCCCCACACTCATTCTGCTTCCCCCACCGAGTCAGCGGCTTTGATTCCTGACACAGAGGCTCACCACTGAGTGTCCCAACTGAAGTGGGGCTTTCCAGATCTCTCTCTGTGCTGTCCCATTGCTGCTGCCCTTTCCACATCTCTCTTATGCCCGGGAAGTGCCCTGCGTCTAGATGAGGAACACCCTTCCCCTCTTCTGGGCGTGGAGAAGGGATCACTGGGTTTGTGGTGGGGGGGAGCAGGGGTCATTTCCTGCAGGAGCTCACAGGAGCGGAGCTCCAGGAGTAAGGAGCCCAGGGGGCAGGCACATGCAACGAGCCCCGCCCCCTGCTCCCAGCAGCCCTCAGTTGGGCCATGAGGAGCAAGAAGCAGCCAGGTAAGTTGCAGAGTCCCCCCTCAGCCCACCTTCAGGTACAAGCTCTCCCTCCTCTGTGAGGGCAGATCTGCACTTTCCCACCCCCCAATAGCTAGCAATCCAAAACCGTCCAGTGGAGCCTGAGTGGTGGGTGTTGCCTTCTGACACACTTCCGGTCAGGGGGTGTGGCATATGCAAATAAGTTATGCTAATGTTATGTTAATGAGCTCCTGCACCTCTTTTTCTACGGAATGACCCCTGGAGGGGAGTGTTTGTGAATTTCCTGCGTTGTGCAGGGGGTTGGACTAGATGATCCTTGAGATCCCTTCCAGCTCTATGTGTGTGAACTCTGTCGGACATCTTTCAGCCCCCTTAGAAATAACAGCCCTGAACAGCTGCCTAACTAACTGCCGCTCCTTCTGCACACCCGTCCAGCTGTACGGAATGTGCCGGGTGTGGCCCCCAGAGAATTGCCTCTGGACGGCCAAATATGTCTGAGGCGTGGAGTATGCCTAGATGTCTCCCGATCCAGGCAGCCTGATTTCCCCTCCCCCTGCCTCTTGGCCTTTTCAGTGCGGCTGCCTTGGAGTGCAGAAGGAGCTGAGCGTTCCTCAAGCTGCTCTCCTCACTGCTGGGCCTTCGAGACGTTCCTGAGGGCACAGGATGGGCTACAGCCTTAGGATCCCTGTGCTGAATCTCTGCTGCAGGGACAAACTGCATCCCTCTCATCCCTAAACCTAGAGGAGGAAAAGGAACTCTGCTGCACGTGACTCTCCTTTATTGTGAGGGGAAAGCCAGGTTCCTTCCATTCCACGGCTTTCTCCAAGGAAACAACAATTTGCCGGTGAAGGCAAAAGAAAAACCCAGCTCCTGAGGAGAAAGGGAGCGAGGAGGGCATTGTGGGAAACGCCTCCCCCCACCCCCGGGTTTGTGCATCACCAGCAAGACCAGAAGTGCCCGATCCAGGTTGTTGTTTTTTTAAGTACCCATAAGGTACACTTTTTATTTTTCATATTATACACCAACAAACAAACATACTACATAACATACATCCACTTACACACATAAAACATACCAAGATATCAGTATATTATCTTATAACTCTATTACCATATTTAAGGAATCTCTATAAGTTTGCTTAAGTTTCTGTATACTCTTATCTTTTTACCGTAGTTTCTATTTAACTAAAAAAGATTAATAATACCGAAAATTTCATTACTTTAAGCTATGCATTTATATTGTACCAATCATACAGTTTTTTCCCACGTCTTTTAAAATGATGATCCACCAAGATCAAACCGGATTCCTACCCAAAAGGCAAATGAGAAACAATATAAGAATCATTATGGATGTACTAGAATACTACGAAGAACATCCAGAGAAAGAACTAATGTTAATGTTCCTAGATGCGGAAAAGGCGTTTGACAACCTGTTGTGGGACTTTCTATTAAAAAAACTAGACATTACAGAACCCGGCCAAGAATTCTACAACACAATTCAAGGTATATACAAAAAGCAATACGCAAAAGTAATAATAAACGGAGACTTGACGGAAACGATAGAGATCCAGAAAGGAACCAGGCAAGGTTGCCCATTGTCTCCCTTACTTTTTGTTTTTGCAATAGAATCATTAAATGAAGATATAAGAAAAAATAAACTAATAGAAGGCTTAAAGGTGAAAGGGGAGGAATTTAAATTACAGGCATTCGCTGATGACCTGGTGTTTATAGTAGGGAATCCCCAAGATTCTGTAAAGGAACTCATGAAGACTGTACAAAATTATGGTCAGGTTGCAGGATTAAAAATTAATTATAAAAAATCTAACATCATAGTAAAGAATTGTTTCCCAAACACGATAGAAAAAATCAAAGAGCTAGCCAAGATGGATATAGTTAAAAAAGTAAAATACCTAGGAATAAATGTAACTCTTTGATTGAAGGGAACTACATGAAATTACTGCAAAAGATCAGATCAGATTTACAGAAATGGAATGGCATCCAACTATCCCTTATGGGTAGAATTGCGGTGATCAAGATGAATGTATTGCCTAGATTTCTACACTTGGCACAAAATATACCTGTGTTAAAAAAACAAAACTTTTTTGAAGATCTGAATAAAATCACTAGAAAATTTATATGGCAACATAAAAAATCCAGAATAAAATGGAAAGTACTCGAAGATAGGAAAGAAAGAGGTGGATTGAGTGTTCCCAACTGGTACATATACTATCAAGCGGCTGCCTTAGTATGGATAAAGGAATGGGTAAGTCTTGAAAACACAAGACTCCTAGCGCTAGAGGGGCACGATCTTAGTATGGGTTGGCACGCTTATGTATGGTATGGGAAAGACAAGATACACTCAAATTTTGGTAGACATTTAGTAAGAGGGTCTCTTAATAAGATTTGGGACAAAATTAAAGGAACTTGGTATAGGAAAACCCCAAGATGGGTTGCCCCACTGGAAGCCTTTATCCAACCATCAATAATAACCATGAACTTAAGAGAAAGCTACCAAACCCTATTAAATAAAAAAACACCTGGATAAAAGATATAGGAGAAATTGATGAAGAGCAATGGTCTAACATGTGGAAATCAGTTAAATACATGAAAGCGGTAGCATATAAAGAAAATGTTTATAAGATGTTTCATAGATGGCATTGGGCTCCCGATAAACTGGCCAAATGCTACAAGGGGTACTCAAATAAGTGTTGGAAATGCAAAGTTCGTAAAGGAACCTTTTACCACATGTGGTGGGAATGTAGTAAGATACAAAAATTCTGGAAAATAGTAAGGGAGGTGCTCCAAGAAAGTCTAGGCAAAAATGTGAACTTGAAACCGTAAATATATTTGCTGAATATGATCCCGAAAGGATATGATAAGCAGGATGCGTATATTATCAGTTATGTTATAACTGCAGCTAGATTATTAATAGCCCGACAATGGAAAGTAGATTCTATACCTACAAGGGAAGAATTGTTAAATAAAATATTGGAAGTAGCCAGAATGGATGATTTAAGTCTAAGGATACAAAATAAAAATGAGATGGTACATAAAAAGAGATGGGATAGAATATATAAATGGATAGAAGACCAGATAGAACTGTAACTGAAAAGTTATATTATGGCTTTGTAACAGAAAAGGAATGTCAATGACCGGTAATGTAAATAACTAAAGTGAAACGACTCTGATGTGTAGTGTAACGCAAACTGATGGAAAGTAGTTGTGTAATACCCTTTGTTTAAAACAATAAAAACTTTAAACGGAAAAAAAAGAAAGCTGCGAGGCCTTCCGTCCTGTGCTCTGCCCTACGCTGCTCTCCACAAGAATCCTCACCCTGCGACCCCCTTCTTTTCCTGTGCCGCCACTTCAGTGGTGGGGAACCTGGGCGGAAGCCCCATAATAAGTCTCTGTTCTCTGTCTCCCTCTCTCTCTAGGGCCCACAGGGGCCCACAAGGCTGACTGGCCCCCCAGGGAAACCAGACAACCAGGTACGTTTGTTGGTGGGACTGAGGGCTGCGTGTGGAGGGCAGGCCTGAGGTCGAGGGGATGGTCGTCCTCTCATGTCTTCTCACTGTGTAATCCCCAGGGTCGAGCTGGAGCTGATGGGGCCCGGGGTGTGCCTGGAGAACCTGGTGTCAAGGTGAGGCAGCATCCCCTGACTGGAGAGCCCCAAGTCCCCTTCCGCTCTCTGCTTTGCGAGGGCTGGGGGGGGGGATTCCCAGACAAATACATCAAGGGCAGAGAGTGTCACGAGGGGGGGGGGCACCTTTTCACTTCCTGGGGGTGGTCTCTGGTCCCAAGGTCAAGCGCTTTATGGTAAGCTGCCTTGAGTGCCTCAGGGTAACTGTCCCCCAGCTTCTCTGGGCCTTATATATAAAGCCATTTTCGTGTCCAACGTTCAATGCGCACCAACAGTGCTTGGCTGCAAGAACTGCCAGTCAGAAGATGCTGGCTGGGTTGACTGGCTGCTTTGCGGCGTCCCGCCCCCGTCAGCCCCGGCCAGCCTCCTTGGCTCACTCTGCTCTGGTCACAGGACAGGACCGACTGCAGGGTAAGTGGAGGGACAGGCCCTCAAGGTTGAGGCAGGCGAGCCGGGGAGCACTCCAGAGGACGCGGGGAAACATTTAAATGTCTCCCTTGGGCTTCTCCCCCGCAGAGTCACCGTTTCCTCCCACCAGTCCTGCACCTTCTTGGGGCCCTGCCAGCCCCACAGTCATCGGTCCCCTCTTCCCCCACTCCCAAACTGTCCCCCAGCTTCTCTGGGCCTCACCAGGCCCAGAGTCTCCGCTTCCTTTTCCCCTCCCCCCCGAATTGTCCCCGTGGCTTCCTTCCCCCCGGTGAGGCCCACAGTTGCCGCTTCCTTCCCCCCCCATCTGGGAGAAGCTTTTGCAGGCCCCCGCCCACTTCGCCCACCCACCCAGGATGCCAGACAGTCGGGGGAAGCTTTCTTAGGGCTCCCCCGCGACGCTTCTCCCACCCTCCTGGCAAGCCGGATGGACAGGAGAAGCTTTTGCAGGCCCCCCTGCCTCCCCCCCTCTTCCTTCCTTCCTTCCTTTCTCTCTCCCCCCCCCACTTCTACCTACCCACCCTACCCACCTACCTTTCTAGGGCTCGTTGTCTTCATCCACAACGGGCTTTGCTCCCGTGTGTGTGTATAATTCTCTTTATTTTATTTTATTTATTCAATTTCTAACCTGCACTCCCGCCGAAGCGGCTCAGGGCGGCTTACATAGAGTCTTAAAACCAACGTGTTGGGCATTTTCAACTCTCCTATTGGCTGTGCTGTGCACTCCATCAGCCGTTGGCCCATCAGCCACCACTCAAGAGTAATCGTGTGCCATTGGCTGGGGGCTGGGTCCACTCTTCTTCCCCGCCCACTGCCACCTCAGCCACTGTTCCCTGTCAGAATAACTGCCAAATGGCTGTCTCTCCTGACAAAGACATTTCTCCTGCTTGGCACCTGTGGGACTAACTTTTCCCTCAGTGGCTGTTGCTAGGCAACTGGTTGTGTCAGTAAAAATACAAAGGAATGAAGCCCTTTCCAGGCCTTTGAGGGGAACTCATTGGGGCCAGTCCTGACTAGAGTTGCCAGCTCCCGGTTGGGAAATTCCTGGAGATTTGATAGGTGGAGCCGGAAGAGGGTGGGGTTTGAGGAGGGGTTGGACCTCAGGTACAATGCCATAGACTCCACCCTCCAAACCAGACATTTCCTCCTGGGAAACCATTGTTGCAATCTCCAGGTGAGGGCTAAAGATCACTCAAAATTACAATGGCTCTTTAGGTAGCAGACATCAGTTTCTCTGGAGAAAATGGTGGACTCTGTGTCATTATACCCTGCTGAGGTCGTCACAGCAAATTGACGCTGAGTGCCCAAGGCCGGGGCACTCTCCCAGAGCCTCTTTCTAGAGCTTGTTGTATTTATTTCCACAATGGGCCTTATTCCTAGTAAATAAATAAAAAGGGCCTGCCTCTTGGTTTCCTCTCTGCAGGGTGACTGTGGCCTCAATGGATTTTATTGTGTGTGGAGGAATAAGGTGCTACTGGACGAAAATCTAAAATGGAGAAGGAGGGCCCTGAACTGGATAGTTGCAGCTACTAGTCAAAGCTTTACCCATGCCAAGCATTACATCCTGTACCCTCCCAGACTACTCCCTTCCAGGGTGCAATCTCTGCCTGGCATGATCTCTGATGTGGGAATCTGCTTTTTCTTTCAGGGTCCGTTTTCCTTCGAGGAGGTGGCCGTGTATTTCACCGATGCAGAGTGGGCCCTGCTCGATCCGGACCAAAGAGCTCTCTACCAGGAAGTCATGCTGGAGAACTACGGGAATGTGGCCTTTCTGGGTAAGGATCTTTCATAGGCAGCAAAGGTGCGAATTGCTGCCATTGTAAGGAGGCACATAACAAATATGGAACAGCAATACACCATTTTGAGGCCTGTCCGGCTGTTTGCCCAGAGGCAACTGAGGCCAGTGTTGTGGCCATCACCCAAGCCAGAGGAAGTATCCTGGCCTGACTCTGATCTGGAAATAATCCATCCCCCTTCTACTTTTTGGGATTGTGGGCTTTGATGTTGACCATGTTTCTTCCTTTCTCATGTAAGAGTGCTCTCCCCCCCCCCCCCCCCCCCAAAAATGAAACAAGGCAGAATTATGAGACTATGGAGGAGATGCTCCCTCTAAGCTGTGGATTTTTGTGAGCAAAAATTCTACCTTGTGAGCTACTGGCATTCAAGTTGTGAGCAAGCGATTTGGCTACTGCATAAATTAGTTTGCTCTGGAGCCCCATCCTTCCTGAGCTGAGACAAAAAATTGTGAGCTGGAGGCTAAACAGTTGTGAGCCAGCTCACACTCACTCAGTTTAGAGAGAACACTGGTGGAGACGGACAACAGCTTTGCATTCAAAAAAAAGGCTGGAGAGTTCTTCAGGAGGCTCTCCAGAGAGGATTTCCTTCCCAAGTGAGTTGGATGAGAGTGGGGATCCTTCACGGTTATCTTAAGGGAACAGTCAAGGAATACCCATGAGACATTTCTGCCTCAGATTTTGGTACAATTATGATGCCTGCTGGGTAAAGGCGGGAGGGAGACCTTCTGGGGCTAGAAGATCAGAAGCTCCTTCTGGGCAAGAGCTCAGCTGTGGCTCTCGAAAGGCTGTCGTATCCTGAAATCCTGGATATTCTGGGGGAAGGTGAGGGGGTGGTTAAGGCCAGCCAAGCTGGACGAGGCCAAAGGGCTGTGAATCCTTTCCTACTGCAGTCCCATCTAGACCTCTGGACCTTACCTGCCCCCCCAGGTATTCAATGTTGCAGAATCAGGGCTGGATTGAGCCTCAGTCCTCGGCTGAAACTCTGCAAGCTCCTGTAGTTGAAACTTTGGTCCTGTTCCCAGGAAGCTTCAGGACTCTGCTGAGTACTGTGGGCCCTCACTGTACACCACTTTGACTCACGTGACTCTTGCCTCCTGGGGATGTTTATACTTTGCAGCAGTCAGAAGTCACTTATCGAATTCTACGTAGATAAGAGTATCAGAAACCAGCTTCCTCGGCTCGTGAGCCACCCTGGCTTAACACAGCTTCCCTTGACTTTCCTGACTCCACAGATAGAATGAAAGGGGCTACTACCACTTTCCTCTGCTCACCTAGAGTATTGTGTTCAGTTTTGGGCACCACAATTTAAGAAGGATGTAGACAAGCTGGAACATGTCCAGAGGAAAGCAATGAAGATGGTGAGGGGTCTGGAGACCAAGTCCTATGAGGAAAGGTTGAAGGAGCTGGGTACGTTTAGCCTGGAGAGGAGATGACTGAGTGGTGATATGATAACCATCTTCAAGTACTTGAAGGGCTGTCATATAGATAATGAAACTGAAGCTCAAATACTTTGGCCACCCAATGAGAAGGGAGCACTCACTGGAGAAGACCCTGATGCTGGGAAAGATTGAAGGTCAAAGAAGACAGGGACGGCAAAGGATGAGATGGTTAGACAGTGTCATAGATGCAAGGAAAATGAAATTGAGCATACTTCTTCAGAGGACAGCGGAAGGCAGGAGGGCCTGGCGTGATCTGGTCCATGGGGTCGCGAAGAGTCGGACTCGACTGTGCAACTGAACAACATCTAGAGGATGCTATGGAGTTGTTTTCTGTTACCTCAGAAGGCCAGACTAGAACCAACAGGTTGAAACGAAATCAAAAGAGTTTTCAGCTAAACATTAGGAAGAACTTCCCGATGTCAGATCCTCCAGGCATTCAAATAAATCCACGTTTGAAGCAAAGTAGCATTTATTAAAGCGATGGTAAAATCAGAACACAGAAATTGTTAAGAATGGAGACTACTATTGGGGTACAACATCATAAAGGAAATCAAACTCGGCTTTGGCCAATGGGTCACTTTCCCGCTGGCGGGAAGGCAGGTAAACTAGGCGCCTAAACCCCTGGAAAGAAAATGGCCCCTAACATAAACAATCGTTCTATTCCCAAGCCTAATCAAAGTAGCTTCACAACACCTTCCACCCTCCAGCACATGACCTTGAGCAGTATCTAAGTTTCAAAGCAAGTCTAACATACACGGAAAGGAATTTTCCTAACGAGCACAGCTACAGCATCAAGGGGCACAATGAGGGAGCCGAGGGGTGGTGGTGGTACAAGGAGGATAGCAAAGCTACACAGAACTCCATGGCAGCTCGCTGACACCCGACAGTTAGAATGGTTCCTCAGTGGAACAGGCTTCCTCGGGAAGTGGTAAGCTCTCCTTCTTTGGAGGTTCTCAGTCAGAGGCTAGATGGCCATCTGACAGCAATGCTGATTCTGTGAACTTAGGCAGATAATGAGAGGGAGGGCAGGAAGCATTGCTTCAGTACTTATTTCCTGTGGCCCTTTTTTACACACCCAGGGAAATGCTGATCGCTACTTTGGGTTCAGGAAGCAATCCTGGAGGTTTTTTGTCATCTGGTCACTGCGGGTGTGGAGGGGGAGGTATTTGTGAATTTCCTGCATTGTGCAAGGGGTTGGACTAGATGACACTGGAGGCCCCTTCCACTATTGGATTATATGTCTAGATGTAGTGAGGTAGCAAGCTGTCACTGCATGCATGTGTAGATCAGAGTGATCTAAAGTACCTAAGTCTTAGCTGTCATGCTAAGTGGCTAACACTGTTGCAGCCAGGTGTTAAACAAGCAGGTGCTGCTCCTTGTGGTAGTTAGGAGTGGGTAATTAGTTGGCCCTGATGTTCATTGGCTGTGTGATGTATATAATGTATAGGCTTGATAAGCCACATTGGGAGACATAGCTCTCTCCATCCGAGGTATGTTATGCTGTGCAACAGTTTGTATATTCTCTGTATATAGTTACCATTACTGCACTATAAACTTTCTGCCTTTACCACCAGTCGGTCTCCAGGCTTCTTATTTACTGCATCCAATATCCACCTCTATGATTCTGTGATTCTATGACTTTGTTGTGCACATCAGATGCTCATCACAGACTTGACTGACAGTTACATTAGCTTCAGTGAGTAAAAAAGAGTACTTAATTTTTGAATTAGTTTTCTTTGAGGTTGTTCTGATCAACCACCCTGCTGTGATTGGTCTTGACAGCACAACCAAGGATATCCTTTAGAAACTTATAAGTGCACTATTGAGGTATTGGGGTGGTGTTGAAATATTCTATGTTGACTATTGAAATGCCAAAAAAAGGGGGGGGAGCCAGTGTACAATGCAAGAACCAAAAAAAAGAACACCACTTGGCAAAAAATAACTCACAAGCAATTAAGCAAGTATATAATGATCAAATAAGCATAACAGCAATTATAATGTAAATCAAACAAGCATAACAACAAGTATGATATAAATCAATTGGCCAAAGTGCAATAATAAATCATAATAGAAACAGTCACAGTCTTCTCCAGCATAGAAGCAATATCAAAGTCCAAATTGGAGTGCCAATCATCAAATTGTCTGAGCCATCAAAAGCCGACGCGTAATCCGGATGCCTGAAGCCGCGTTTCGAATTATTTTTATTCAAGCACCCTTAATCCTCCTTGACTGACCATTCTGGCTTACCATATGCCAGTTTTTGAGACTGGGTCCCATTACAGCCATGCTTGAATAAGAAAAATTCGAAACGGTACCTTTAACCCCCCTTTGTAATTGTAGCTGGTCACCCTCTTGGCGAAGATGATCTCCAGCCCGGGTTGGGCAGGATTCGGAGGGAGGCTCTCTTTGACAAAGAGTGTGTAAAGGAATAAATTGAGTTTTGGTTTAGAACATCTCCCTCTCTCCCTCCCTCTCTCTCCCTCCCGCCCTCTCTCCATCCCTCCCTCTCTCTCCCTCTCTCCCTCTCTCTCTCCCCCTCCTTCTCTCCCTCCCTCTCTCTCCCCCTCTCTCCCTCTCTCTCCCTCTCTCTCCCTCAATTTCTGCACCAACTTGATGGAACTCTCTGCTGGTTAAATCTGGGCACTGTGGGATTTGCTAAAAATTAGAAGGCCCTGCAGGGCAAAAATATTCTGTGAAACAGACGGTTGAGGACGGCAACTGTTTCTTAACACTTTAATCATTCTTAAGGACCATTTGATTCATGCTCTGCTTTCACCCCTCTTCCCCCATAGCTGATGTAAATTGGGGTCCAGAATTGTATGATGGCGCCACATGGCTTTAGAACTGTATCTTATACTATTTAATAGATTTTATGTGTTTTACATGACTTTGAACCGGCCTGAGCTTGCTCGCCAGGAGGGCAGTAAACAAACCAAACTAATAAACAAATACTCTCCCTTTATTCCAGCAGAGAACGATCAGAGGAATGAGAAGAGTGAGGAACTTCATCCGCAATTGCCAGATAAAGTTAATGATGAAGATTTAAAAGGAAACGTCAGGAATCGAGGCAGACCTGTGAGAAACAAAGGCGGCCGTTTCGTTGAGAAGAGAGATGGAAGACAGCGTAATGTACAGTTTCTAAAGCACAAAATAATGAGGACAAGTAAAATTGTTCAGTGCGGAAAGTACATCAAATATAGGTCACAATTTCTTCTGAACCTAAAAATACAAAGAGAAGAGAAACCTTCTGAAAACTCAGAGTGTGGGAAGAAATTCAGTCCAAGTGACAATCTTCAACGGCATCAAAGAACCCACACAGGGGAGAAACCTTTTGAATGCTCAGAGTGTGGAATGATATTCAGTGTGAGCAGCAGTCTTCAATATCATCAGAGAACCCACAGAGGGGAGAAACCTTTTGAATGCTCAGAGTGTGGAATGATATTCAGTGTGAGCAGCAGTCTTCAATATCATCAGAGAACCCACAGAGGGGAGAAACCTTTTGAATGCTCAGAGTGTGGAATGATATTCAGTGTGAGCAGCAGTCTTCAATATCATCAGAGAACCCACAGAGGGGAGAAACCTTTTGAATGCTCAGAGTGTGGAATGATATTCAGTGTGAGCAGCAGTCTTCAATATCATCAGAGAACCCACAGAGGGGAGAAACCTTTTGAATGCTCAGAGTGTGGAATGATATTCAGTGTGAGCAGCAGTCTTCAATATCATCAGAGAACCCACAGAGGGGAGAAACCTTTTGAATGCTCAGAGTGTGGAATGATATTCAGTGTGAGCAGCAGTCTTCAATATCATCAGAGAACCCACAGAGGGGAGAAACCTTTTGAATGCTCAGAGTGTGGAATGATATTCAGTGTGAGCAGCAGTCTTCAATATCATCAGAGAACCCACAGAGGGGAGAAACCTTTTGAATGCTCAGAGTGTGGAATGATATTCAGTGTGAGCAGCAGTCTTCAATATCATCAGAGAACCCACAGAGGGGAGAAACCTTTTGAATGCTCAGAGTGTGGAATGATATTCAGTGTGAGCAGCAGTCTTCAATATCATCAGAGAACCCACAGAGGGGAGAAACCTTTTGAATGCTCAGAGTGTGGAATGATATTCAGTGTGAGCAGCAGTCTTCAATATCATCAGAGAACCCACAGAGGGGAGAAACCTTTTGAATGCTCAGAGTGTGGAATGATATTCAGTGTGAGCAGCAGTCTTCAATATCATCAGAGAACCCACAGAGGGGAGAAACCTTTTGAATGCTCAGAGTGTGGAATGATATTCAGTGTGAGCAGCAGTCTTCAATATCATCAGAGAACCCACAGAGGGGAGAAACCTTTTGAATGCTCAGAGTGTGGAATGATATTCAGTGTGAGCAGCAGTCTTCAATATCATCAGAGAACCCACAGAGGGGAGAAACCTTTTGAATGCTCAGAGTGCGGAAAGAAATTCAGTCAGAGTTGCAATCTTCAAACACATCAGAGAACTCACACAGGGGAGAAACCTTTTAAATGCTTAGAGTGTGGAAAGAGATTCAGTCACAATGGCGGTCTTCAATA